AAGGAGTTTTTTAAAAAAATAAATAATAAAAGATGCAAAATTTCTATTTTTTTGCATCAGTGCTGGAATTAGACCTGGTGCTGGGTAAATACCCTATCTGAAGACGTTTCTGACTAGCACTCTGGGTTACCATCTGGTCTGTCTGCTCTGTTACAATTGCAAGATCACAACCACACGTTACAGTAATTTACAGGAGATGACTACATACGTGTGAGATACTGGTTTGGTCACTATATCTCTGAATTCTTAATTTTTTTTTCATTAGAAGTTTAATCTGCTTAAAATAATGTTTTCTAGTCTAGACCTCTGTGTTCTGTTTCTTCCACAAGTTAAACTCCCGTTGACTGCAGAGGAGGCTGGGTCCTACTGTATTTCGAAAATCATACTCTTTAACCGTAATGTTATTTTTCACTTACATTTAAAAGTTGCTGTAAAACAATTATTTAGGAATATGTATTTGTAATGTGCCTTTTACATTCTTTTTCTGTTATCTTTCTATGCAGCTTCTCTGACTCTTAATTCCACTATGAAACAGCTGTCGGCAGAAACTATTCGTCTCCTTTCAAGTTCTCAGGTGATTACGTCAGTTGTCAGCGTGGTGAAGGAGCTGATAGAAAATTCCTTGGATGCCAGTGCCACAAATATTGACATTAAACTGGTAAGTCCTCTTTCTTTCTCTTACAAAGAATTGGATGTAAAATAAGGTGAAGGAAAGTTGTTCCACTGCAAGTGTATTTTTTAGGCTATCGTGGTTTGGGGAATAGAAGGGTATTAGTAGTATTTATACATACATATTTTAACCTCAAATAAAAACAGTCCAAAATCAGTTTCCATTAACATTTTTGAGGCCCCACTGAAACAGTAGAGCATATTTGTGCTCCCAAGTGTATCTTGAGGAAAAACTGTCAACTTCTTTAATACTACTTTTCCTACTTATAAGTTACTTTTTCTGACCAATAGCTTGTTTTAAAAGATGTTGGACTTAAGTTTCACTGCTAGACTGGCATATTTAATGCTCATTACAAAATATTGTCAGGAAGGTGAAAATGGAAACAATAGAAAAGGTTGATGGCCA